GGCTGAAGAGTCAGACTAGGCTGGTGAAGGGAAATACTGTGGTGCTCTTTGGCTAGTACTTGATCTGCCAGTTTGGTCACTATTGGGTCGTTTGTTCCTGCACAAGGGGTCCAATCGGTTGTCATTATCATTGTTGTCAGTAGCACAGAAAACTTTTAATATAAATGGAAACTTACCGTTGCAGGCAATGCTGACAAGAGCCTCAACTGGCGGCTGCTCACTAGAGGTTTCATACTGAACTTGATCCAGACTTTCCTGAATTCTATTAGGAGGTCCTGAGAAAATGCACACACCGCCCTTAGCCAAAATATAAAGTTTATCAAAAAAGCCCAGCGTTTCACTATTCGGACAGTGAATTGAGGCAATCACAGTGATCTGGTAGATGTTGCTTAGCTTTTGGAGACATTTGACCACTTCAGCAGCAGAAGCACTGTCCAGCCCTATAGTAAGATACAGAAAATAATCCTTGTTTGCTGGCAACAAAGGTTAGCTTACCGGTAGTGGGCTCATCGACAAAAAGAAATGAAGGCTTTTCAATTGCCATCAGCTCTTGGCAAATGGCAATTCTTCGCTGCTCTCCGCCACTGCAGCTGTCAAAAGTTTGATTCAGAACATGTTCATCAAGGAATAGGTCTTTGAGTGTCTGTCGAATGCACTCATCAACGACATCACCGGTGTGGCAAACGCCGTTTTTGAAGGCAAAGGCATATTGTAGAATCTGCTTGACAGTCAGTTGACCGACTATGCTCTCGTGCACGTGCTGTTCGATAAAGAAGGAGACTGTTGACTGGTGTTTAGAGTTGAGGTACACTTCCGAGTCTTCACTGAGACCCAACTTGAAGGTGCCGCTGAGGCAGTTAAGTAGCGTTGTTTTGCCGGCACCACTTGGGCCCAGCAGCCCGTTAAGGCTGCCAATCTCAAAGTAGCCATTTAGTCTTTTGAGGATGACTTTCTTCTGGAAGCCCCATTTAGTGGCTTCAAAACGCAAGTTTTTCCATGCGATCGAAATCTGACTCTCACGCTGGAGATCTACACTGTAATTGTCACCTTGTTCACTTGAGCAAGTTATTAATGAACTATTATTAAAATCCGCATTTGTATCGTGTAACACTTTGCCAGCCATGGCTGCAGGCACAATGGGATAGATGTCAAAAAGATGGATGTTTTATATGAAGTAATCTAGTGGGAAAAAACGAACACTTTGTCAGAAAGCAGAGAATTAAAGGAGTGCAAAAGCATTACAACCACGAGTCTATATAGTAAAAGTCCACTATGGGAGAAGAAAGTGTTTGGATCAAGCGCAAGGTGGGCAGAGTTTAAGCGCTAAAGCACGAGCGAGAGTGCTTTAGGTTCAGAACGAACAAGAACCAGTGACATCATTAGTCTGTGATGTTGTTTACGTTGCACACGATCCACGAAGACATTCTTAGGTCGTCAGTCAGTGCAACTTTTTTTCTCTCTATTTCGTCGAAGCGCTTGATGATAAGTCAAGTGCAACTCCGCCCTCGTATTCTCTTCTTTTCTCCACTGACTGCCCCATCAGATCGACACATTTGCCCATCAGCAAAATTTCCATTTTGCACTGTCTCGAGACGACCCCTTTAACTTTAAATTAACGTACGGTGCTCTCTGGAAACGTAGCTACCGGTAGCGATACTTGAAAAACAACTTTTTTTGTTTAACAAAAGTGCAACCAAAATACTTGCTACTGAATGTTCCGAAAGGACACTCGCTACTACCACTGCTACTACCATTGGTCTAGTATAAATCTGTTGATGATTATCTTGTTTCAAAATATATTTTTTGCGTATACCTAGAGTAGCAAAGAAAAAGAAATAAAATGGCCAATCAAGGGATCTTCTCATTTGACATTGCTGCTGGTAGGAAGTGGGAAAGGCACAAGCACGCAAAATGCACTCTAAACTACTAATGAAAGCAGACAAAGAGAGAGAGAGAGAGAGAGAGAGAGAGAGAGAGAGAGAGAGAGNGGCAAAGAAAAAAAATAAAATGGCCAATCAAGGGATCTTCTCATCTGACACTGCTGCTGGTAGGAAGTGGGAAAGGCACAAGCACGCAAAATGCACTCTAAACTACTAATGAAAGCAGACAAAGAGAGAGAGAGAGAGAGAGAGAGAGAGAGAGAGAGAGAGAGAGTACAAGTAGAAGCAATAACTCCTGAAGAAAGTTTTCTTCAGTTATCACTGGTCATTAGGAGAAACACTGACTCACCAGTGAAATGCTGATGACGACAAGTGGCGGCAACGACTCTGAGGCGCTCCACGAAATGGTTTGTGTGACGTAAAAAAGCCTCTAAGGTAGCTGCGTGGAGCGAATTGATCACAAAACGAATACCACTTGATTATTTCAAATCGTTTTAGAATTAATTTGAAAGATTTAATTAATGAGACAGTATGTTAGGAGGGTTGACGCAAGTATTGGAGAGAAAAAACGTATTTTTAATCACATGAAACGACGTTGTTTTTGGTGGAAAACGATGATTATCTGACGCATAACTTTAGGAAAGTTTTTTTAATTCAGAGACTAGAACTTTATTTGTCAAAGTTTTATTGTATTGAGTTGTTTGTTGTTTATCATTCATCTGAAAAAGCATTCAATTGTTTTACAAACTCATTATGAATTGAAGTAACTAATTTTAAGCAACAGTTGAGCGAGCACATAATGCTTTGTTTGAGAGTGTTCACTGGAACTACCGAATTGAGTCCATACACTGTATCCTCCCATTGCATTATTATCGCGATTGTTGTCTAATGGATGTCCTGTACTAGGATTTCCTCCGCTAAAGCGTCATTGTCCTGTCATTTTCCGGCATTTTAAATATTAAATTTTTCCAAATTTTTAAACCTGCTGCAGTCTTGCCGTGTGTTGCGCAAGTGACACTTGCTCATTTATGGTCAAGGATTACTTTTTTTATTTTATTTCTGTGAATTTGATTGAACGGTGGGCAGTAACACAGCTGGCTCAAACAGATAAGATGTTTACAAATCTATTAATTGCCATTATTGATTATTTTCAAATGAAGCACAAAGTTGTCAGTTTTCACATTGTAGTTGCTGATGTTGTTTTTGATAAAAACACTTCACTAGTAAACTTGTTCATTATTTATGCAGAAATGGCACAAACAAACATTATTATTTGCTGATGTACAAGCATTCAAGTTAATTAAATACACAAGGCTTAGGAGTAGTATAGAGCAGGTTTGGTACAGGACAGGAGTGTATTTTTAGTCAGTCAGTGGAAGGACAATCCTGATTNTACTAGTAAACTTGTTCATTATTTATGCAGAAACAAATGGCACAAACAAACATTATTATTTGCTGATGTACAAGCATTCAAGTTAATTAAATACACAAGGCTTAGGAGTAGTATAGAGCAGGTTTGGACAGGACAGGAGTGTATTTTTAGTCAGTCAGTGGAAGGACAATCCTGATTACCGGAATTGACATTGAGTTTTTATACCAAAATTAAAGTTATTTTTTTGCTTTGTGATCAACAGGTTTGCGATGCCATTTACCTCTTTTCCACCTCTGACCACTACTTAAATTTTGCTTCAACGACCGCCTCCTTTACATATCATGATTCACCCTGTATTTCAACAATATTCTCATTGCCCACAATCGTTTTCGCAGTGAATGTCCCCGCGTTTTCCCGCGTCTGAAAAACCCGTATTGCGACACTGTCCGGACACATTTAATTGGCCGATATTACCAGAGTTGCTCATGAATTGGATGCAAAAGTCATTAAACTTTTACTTAAACAGATAATCGAGTTTTGGACGACCAAACTCGTTTTGTCTAGTAGGGTTGTGGAAGTGTCTGCAAATTTATATGAATTTAAATTAACAATTTAGTCGGCCCAACTTTGTTACGTTAGGGGTTGCCTTATGAAGGTAAGTTTTTAATTTATAGTACAAGAAACTGATGCCACAAGGTTATGTAAGTACAGAATTTTCTATTTGACGTCATTCACCTCTTTTTCTTATCTCAAGTTAAATCTTTACTCAAGTAAATAAACAAACGAAAAGGTAACAAAAAGATTTTAAAGGCAATAAAAGTGAAGAAAACTGAGTGAAAGTTATACAAAAAGAAGATTGAACTGATAATAATGCCGTTTGGTCAAAAGATCTATCTAAGTTGCATATAAAATCAAACAAATATCTACATTTGAAAAAAATTAGAAATGTGAACATTTGCGTGAACGCGTGATTAGCAGTACTAAAAGAGCACTAAGACAGCGCTAATCTGAGCGGTGTATTTAACTCACCTTACTTGTTGCCGAAGGCAAAAAATCAATTTAATTAGCGCGAATATACGCTTACGAGCCAATAAAAATATATTTGATAATGCATAATTAATGACGAAAAATCTCACCATAGGTAGACTTTGTGTCAGTAGTAGTAACGCAATAGTTTTTAACTTATTCAAACATGCTAATGCTTGTTGAATACTCAGAAGGTCACTTGCATCGCCTAGAAAAAACAGCTGAAAATTGGTGAAACTTTTGGTAATTTATATATCTTTATTAAATGTTTTCTTACACAAAATAGAGTAGTCCTTGAGCGTTGCGATAGAAAGATTGAAAGAAAATCTGTAACATCAGAAACATTAATTTTGTTTGCAAATAATAAAAATAGTTCACTTAAAAAACTGAAATGGCAATGACATTTTTAATTTTGAAATACTGTCAAATAAAGTGAAAATAAGTTGAAAACCCGTAATCTATTACGACTCTTGACCACTCTCTTGGCTAAAATAAATGAAAGGGTTAAATAATCAAATAAAATGATGACTATATTTGATGAGATGAGACGAGGTGACATTTTTCAATCAAATATATGCGGCCCAGCCCTGATACATTGCACCAAGATTGTTGGGGTTCGCAGCCTCCTAAAAATAAAAAAAATGTTTTGTAAACAAGTAAAAATATAAATGAGTACAAAATGCTACCTTAATGATATGATCAATTTGCCCAATAACGGACACTTGTCTTCCTCTGTACAAGTTTGCTTTTGTTCTTGAAACGAAACCGGAAAGTCGAGCTTCAACGCAAAATATTGACTTTTCAGCCTAAACTATAAAGGTTAAAAACATTTCAATTTAAGAAAAATGAAAAACAAACCTGATCATTGCGTGTATGGTTTTCAATCCACTCTGCTAGTGGATCATAAATAAACTGTGTCACATATTTGGCAAACAGTTTCCGATACTGCCTCAGAACTAGCAGAACATCTTCAGCGGTGTGACGAAATTGCCCTTCATAGCCAATGACACCCATAGCTGTCTCCATATTATGTGTCATTCGAAATGGAACACATTCTGGGACAATAAAGTCTTCGCCACGATTGAAAAGACAGTTAAAATCGACTTGAACCATTTCACCTGTTGCAGGGTCAAAGAGCAAATTCTCCGAATGTCGGTCACCCAAGCCGAGAATGTAGCCAAGCACCGAATAGGCCGCCGAAGTGCGAGTGAAATTTTGTTTTGCCATTGCCCAAGAGTACGCATCGGCGAATTGCGTTTGAAACCACAAATGCAAAACTGACGGCTTGAATGAGGGCAAAGATTTGAGGTAGATTTCAATTCGCTTTTCTTTGTTCGGTTTGGAGTTATGCCGCACAATGTGTGCAGTGAAATTGTTTCTTGCCGTATAATAACAAAGTTTGCTCAAACGAGTTCTAAAAAAAAGATAAAAGAAATGAGCAATATGAAGCGGTTAAGCAGATGGGCGCATAGCTACGATTTACCTGATGTATTGCTCTTCGACGATCACTTTCATTGGCGTTAATCCAGGAATCCATTCAATAACGCCATAGCTATCACTGAGTGGACAGGCAAAGTAAGTTTGAACCTTCAGCGGATTAAGTCGTCTTTTTGCTATAATCTTCTCCTCCGTCAAGTTATCGATTTGCAGCTCTTCAGCATTTCGACGCATTGAGTCAACTTTCGGTATCTCCCCACCATAAGCCTGGTTGAACAAATTAGCAAAGTTGAGAAAGCAACGGTCCTTGCGTAGATCGTCAGATGACTTGCAAAGTAATATCCGATTCACGCCATCCTGACAGACACAGGTTATCTTTTTCGGCAACTGCAGCGATTTCATCGTCTGAACTTGGTCTTTAAACTTTTCAATAAAAAAGCCACTGAAGAAAAAATTGAAATCCTTCGTGGATTTCAAGCGTTCCAAATTCAGCAGTGATGGCATAAGCAACTTGTTGAAGGGCATTACGAATTTAAAACTAGCTGACTCCATAGTTATGGCTAAAGCGGGAACCGCACGCCGAAGAGAAAATTCGTAATTAATCGAAGCATCATTAGGTTTTGAGTTTTGAGACTTTGTAGGCTTGAATCGAGATAACTCGTTGAGGTGGCCAGCAAAATTACGAAAGGAAAAATTAAATTTCACCAAGTCAATTCCAGTGGTTTTTTCCTGAGATGCTGCTTTGTTTAGAATTTCTTTAACCACAAATCCTCGCCGGTTGTTCTGCGTTGATGATCTCGAAAGATGCCAAGCCATGTGGTGAGGAAAATCAACGCACAGAGCAGTAAGTATATTCTTAATGCAGCGAGCGATGTCATTGTTCGGATGCATGAGGTGAGTAATCAACGTGTCGACAGCATACAGAAAGATGGCATTATTGGCCACTCGAGTTAGGCCAACGATATGTTCCGTCGACAGTTCAATTGCTCGCTTGTAGTGCTCTTTTAGGCGATTGGGGACTCCAGAATGAACAATGTTGTACAAAAATGGAGAAGGGTTGTTGCTTAAAAACTCTCGCTCTTCGTAGCTAAACGATTTAAAATAATAAAAATATGAGTAAGTTTAAAATGCAAAATGTGTGCGTACTATTCAATGAGCTTACCCCAACTCAACCCAGGTATTCAGCAACTTTGGCAATGAAATAGGTAAGAATTGGTTGCCATATTTCAAAGATTCACAATATGCCATAATGATTCTATGCCTACAATCGAGGATCTCTTCAGGCTTGCACATTACACATTTAGTTTCACTGCCAATCTTCGTTACCATCGACCTTTCGTACTCCTTGGCGAGATTGCTCATAAATTCTCCCGATGAAAAGAAGCCTTCCTCCCAATTGGGACAGGCAATTTTCACAGCTTTATAAACAGCAAATAGAGAGTTGGTGGAAAAATGGCGACACTCTTCGGCGTATCGCGCATACTGAAGCTGCAACCGTCCAAAAGTTCTATACACATTGGGGTTTCTTTGGGTTTCTCTGTTCACACGAGCTAGTTCTTCCGAGTGAGATTGAAGGGAATTGAAACGTTTGGACCCAGAAGTTGAAAGTAAAGAGTCGCTAGTGATGAAACGTGACGCGATCGTCTCAACATTAAGGCCGATAGCACTAGAAATTTCAGACTTTTCGGTATCACAGCTACTTGAAAGGTACCTTTTTCCCGTTTCCATGAAGCATACTTGCTCGAGTTTAGAGTAGTTTTTCACAAGTTCATTTTTTATAACTTTTAAAGCAGCTGAAAAGAGAAAGGTTGTAACAATTTATAGTTATGCATTTTCATTTGTAAATGCTTACCCCTCTCATCACGTCGACACCAGTGAACTTTTGCAGAGTCCAAAACAAAATCAGCTCGCTCGTCTGAACTTAAAAAGTCCAGTAAGCTTTGCTCTTTGTTTCGCAGTAGATCCGTCATCAGTTGTGTTGCTTCGAGCATGTTGGCATAAGCACGGTCTAAGTTGCCACACTTAATTTCAGTAGCCAATCCTTTGGCCCAGTAACGAAACAGCTCTATAGCGTAGAGGTCAGAGTTGTTGGGTGATATCCTCATGCTATGTTGCTGGAGAATCTTAACCAAAGATCGCTGAACGTCAATTATTTGATTGATGGTGTTGGAGTGGTCGACTGCAATCAAAGGAACAAAACGATTTCTGGCTTCCCATCCGGCTTTCAGTTTGGTGAAGCACTGGAAAATGTCTTCAGCGCTCGACTGTTCGCTTAGGAAAGCTGAGTGGTTCTGAATGAGCTTTTCATAAATTGTTTGAGAAAATTGCTGAACGTCGTGAATTAAATGTAGCGGAATGATGGAGCTGTAATAAGCGCGTTGGTAGGCGCTGCTTTGATTTGACAGCAAGGCTGCTTTCAAATGTCCNAAAATTGTTTGAGAAAATTGCTGAACGTCGTGAATTAAATGCAGCGGAATGATGGAGTTGTAATAAGCTCGTTGGTAGGCGCTGCTTTGATTTGACAGCAAGGCTGCTTTCAAATGTCCCAGAACATTGCTTCGAATATCGCCGAGTTTACTTTGAAATACAAACAGCGCCTCTTCTTTCTTCAAACTATGCAAAACTGTTCCAATACTTGGCACAACTGCTTCCGACATGCCAGTGTCGGCGCCAAATGTAATACTATCTTTCTTTTTGGACTGTGAACTGCGATCCTGCTCCAGTTTGCTAAGCTCCGAGTTAGAACTTCCTCCAAAGGAGTGAAATGCATTGGCTACAGTGTCCATTTCTTCCCATTGGTTCAGCTTCCAAGTGGCGTCGATCATGTACATAGGCGCTTTGGAGCTCCACAAAGTAGGCAGTTCTGACTTGCTGGACTGACTTCGGGAAGAAAGATCGCTTATCAGACGGGAGGCACAAAGGGACGGATTCAGGTGAAGTTCTTGCATCATTGTAAAATATTTATCTTGCACAAAAAAGTCGCTCATCGTCGATTGTTTACCAGATTCGTGATTGGTTCTAGAAAGTATTTAAGTTAACTCTAGCAGGTACTTTTACCCGGGCACTCACCTATTGTCATTTCGCAAGAGTTGAGCACTAATCATCAGCGCCTCCAATGAGTTCCTTTCTACAAAAGCAGTACTTAGCATGCTTTCCAATGTGGGCATATGAGTGTTGGCAATCAGCCGGCATCCTTTGACCGAGTCTTCGTCGCCCATTTCAGAGTATATGCGCATAATAAATTCCAAATTCTCTTGGCGAAATGCGTCCAGCGCAGCATCAGAAAGCTTTTTTTCAAGCTTATCAGCAAACTTCTTTTCGATATATGATAGGGCTTTGTGATGGGAGCCTGAAGCGAAGGCAAGTTTTGCCATATCAAGCAATTCTATATCTTTAAGCAAGGTAGAAACGCTTGAATATTCCGAATCGAAACGATTGACACGGTTGCGAAGAACAAGACTGCGAACCATGAAAAAATGCGCTTTCTTGCGGCTCTTGTCAAAATCTACCAAAAAGTCATAAAGAAAGCAAATCAATTCTGCAACTTGAGGACCGAGTTCGAAAAGGAAATATTGAGGATTAAGAAGAAACTTGTTTTGAATCATTGAGCGGAAATGAGTGGAAAACTTTTCAATCGTTTTTGAGTCCGCGTAGCTGAGCGAGAGGATAAGTAGAGAAGGAAATATGATATGCGCTAACTTAGGGTCAGAGAAGATGGTCTTGTAGCAAACTTCGAACACCAGTTGAGGCGATTTAATTGTCTTTAGTTTTTCAATTATTTCTTTAAACTCCTGTGTGTAACTTTGAGAAGATTGATACTGAAAAAGAAAGCGTCAGGTCAATAAACAGTAAAAACAATATAAAAACTTACTTGAGTATTATACTGTGAAAAAACAATATGATGAAAGTCCAAACGTTGACTGGCTTTACTAGCAGCAAAGTCGGCTACATCGCTTTTAGATGATTGCTTAAAAATAAAGCAGTGATAAAGCATCTTCAAAAATGACTCNTAAAAACTTACTTGAGTATTATACTGGGAAAAAACAATATGATGAAAGTCCAAACGTTGACTGGCTTTACTAGCAGCAAAGTCGGCTACATCGCTTTTAGATGATTGCTTAAAAATAAAGCAGTGATAAAGCATCTTCAAAAATGACTCCAAAAAAGCAAAGTAAGTCATTGTTGGACTTATACTTTCAAAAAACAGATCCATCGTGATGGGATGTCGTGAAAAAGCTCGTTTCCTATGGTAAACGCCAGCGTTAGCTTCAACCTTTGTTAAATAGTCGTAAAGTTCTCTGCTGAGATCATAATTTTTACGAATGCACTCAATTTTTTCCCGAGCCATTACTTGTGCGAGATTGTCCATCATTTCTCTTTTTGAAGTTTGATTTTGTTTTGAATGAAAAACAAATTATTAACTTGCAATATACACGAATAAGTTTTCAAAAACTTACTTTTGAGCTGTTGCAGAAGATTGTATTTCTTTGGCATATAACTTGATGATCAAGTTTTCTAAATCATCATCATTAACACTTTCTCCGCTTCCATTTTGCAACAAGTCATTATCGATAATCATGTTTGGCGAAGCGGTTGTGAAAAGTTTCATCAGTTCTTGAATTCCGAGACTGGCATAGGTAAAATCAACTTGAGTAACAGCACTCCTTATTATCTTCATTAAACTCTCAAGTATTATTTGCTTAAACTCCCGAGTTTGATGTCGAAATGGTCGCTGATTGCAGAAATCAATAGAATACATCGTTTCGCTAACTTCATGGTGCTCAACTTGTGAGCTTTGGCTGACAGCTCTATTGTTACTGTCAATCTAAAAAATATATCAAGTTAAAATTAAATTAGTTTAAAGCAAATAGAGTGAAAGAACTCGGCTGATTTTACCTTGTAAACTTCACTTAAACACGGCTTGTCGATGTTTAAAAATTTTGGATCAATCGCCCCAAGAAGACCAAGGCAATTGGCAATCATTGATGCCCGTTCACGTGAAACAAACTTTAAGCATTTAAGTAGCTGAGCGATGAGTGTTTGAAAAAACTTTCCAACTGTGGTAATATCAGCCAAGAGCTCGTACATTTCGGGCACATATTGACTTGGTCCATCATGCCCATCGGGAAGCAAATCCAAAGGAATCTCACTTAAATCTTCGTATATTTTTAGCTCTTGCTGCTTAGCAGAGAGAATTCGATTGTAGATGTCGACATTTAAGCTGAACAGCTCATACAGTTTACCTAAAGCCAGCTCTTGAACTTTATTGTTATTGTAGTTTACTTGGTCCAATATGAAAAGGATTTCGCGACATCTCGCGCTGAAAGTATCGCCTTGTATGAAATCCACAAACTGGTTCAAGTCTTCTGATAAATCCGGAACTGTTAACTGATCGTCGTAGCAGCCGATACCAGTTTGTTTACGAATAAGCTCATAGATTGACGAAAAGCTTGGTGCACAGCTCATAAAGTGTAGCTGAAAGTAAACTTGCTTGGGAAACTTGTGACGATAAAATATCTTTTCCAAAACCTACACAAATTGAATATTATAAT